AACCCTAAGCCCTAAACCGTGGCTCCTGTCAGGGTTACCACAGCGGGTACTACACGGAATGCAGCGGCTGCTGTGGCCATTTCAGTGTTCCAAGACACTCGCTAGCAAAGTAGTATCAAATGTCAAACACAGAATATGCAATATATATATATATATATAGATATATATATATATATATATATATATATGTATAGTACTATAACTGTTCTTATATATATACATATATACATAGTAATAAGTGTTCTTATCTGATATTTGGCTCAGAAGATAAGACGTAGAAGACACCCAGAAACTTCACGAGCCTAGCGGAATGCCACCGGCGCTGGGAAGCCATCTCCGCTCCCCAATTGGAACTGCATCCGATAGGCAACTCCTCATGGAAGCAACCAGGGATTAGGGTGTAGGTTTTAGGGCCTTATGGATTCAGGGCTTTATGGATTTAAGGCTTTATGGAATTGGTGATAACGACGCACAACAGAAACGGAAAGCGGTAAAGGGCTAAGCCGTCTGCCGCCTCGGCTTCAGAAGCCCGAACCATTTCACCACCTTCAATGAATCCCTGCTGAAAGCCCACCCTCAAGAACCCCACCATCCTGACCCAACGGGCAGCGTCCTGTTCCAGTTCTCGTCCTGCGAGATTGACGATGACCAGTCCGCCCAGACCTGGCTCCATAGCGCATCATCTACCTGTGCGGAAGCGTAGGAAGCCTCAGTTTCGGGACATGACGAGTGAGCGGTGACCTGCTTGAAAGAATTGGAATCCCTGTAGTCAAACTCCGAGATTCGATGTGTGCGAAGAAGATGGCGAAGAGCGAACAGAAGTGCATCCTCTTGGCATCCGGCCACGCTAGGCCTCTGTCCTAAGGGATTCTCGGAGACCTGTTCGACTGAGGCTAGGTGGCTGGGCTTCGCAGCTAAGCAGGTGAGAGTATTGCTCCGCTTGACATGCGAAACTCGCGCTGGTCGAGGCCATATGGCTGAGCAGATATGTCAGTGGATTCACCTCCATGCACGCTCAACAAGCCTCAAACGTAAGTGCTAAGGCCATGCCAAGCAGTGGCAAAACCGGAGTCACCCGGTGCTCGTTTTGTCTCGCAAGGCAAGTGCAGCTTCGAAGCGCAAGACGAACAAGGCGATGATGCCTGCTCGATTGCAGGGCACACTCGGATGTTGTAAGATCAGGTACACCCTAAGCCGTCAAACCTCACAAAACCCTAAAGGGATCAGAGCTTCCAGGCAGCCAACCAAGGTCCTATCTCGAACCCTGAAATGCTGAGATTGGTGCGAGTACAGCGACCGCTGGTCGGATGCTGGAGCCTCTCGGCACTTCGCAAAACGCTTTGCAGCTTGTGCGGCCCACGGTATTATCGAAAACACAAGACTGCGTTCAGAAGGAACCGCACCAAAAATGCGAATGCCGACGAGTAGGCACGAGTCGGGGCCGGCACGGCTTCTTCGGCAAGCTCCGGCATTCCAGGCAAGCAGGCCTCCCGCACCACAGTTGCAAACGAACGAAGGGACGCTAAAGCTCCAAAAAACAAGCACGCCGTTGGCAACTTGACTGCAAGACCTCCAAGGCAGGCTGCTCCAGTGCCCGCGCCATTGTGCTCAAGGGCAAATCCAAGATACCAGTCAACGACCTCGGGCTGATGTTGATGAGCGCTTTGACGTTCGAAGGACTATCCCCAGGCACTGCGAAAAAAACAACAAAATCTACACGCCGACACCGATCATTGATTCTTATTAACAGGGTTCCATGCATTTTGATACCAGCAGTTTGATGAAATATACATTTGCATGCAAGCAGACTTTCCGGCAGGCAATGCTTTGTCATGCTGATTTCCAACTGAGCTTCGAAAAACCATCGCGATGTTTGTACACTTGTCAGAGATTTCTACCAAAACCAAAACAGCAAGTCGCACGCGCTTGACTTTTGGAAGCGAACGTATCGGCACCGCTCTCTTCATTCCCTCTTGGCCTGTTTCGAGCTCTTGCGTGGAAGCTTGCAAACTGCTGGTGCCCGGAATATCCAGTTCAACCGATGAAGAGTACGTGGTCGACGACTGTGATGGCCCAAAGCGGTCAAACAGTCGGCAGCGCCTAGAGCCACTGCTTAGTAGGGAATGGGGGAATGGGTTATAGGGGCTACTATAAGGCACCGTAAGGGACTATCATAAGGATCCAATCCCCCATTCCCTCCTAAGCACCAGACAGACTGTGGGGAGTTGATCAAAGGTGCAGTGATGCTTTGCCGTGGATCCGTATGCTCGAGGAAACTGTGGCTCGCGAAGGACTGCTGCCACTTAGGGTTTAGGGTTTAGGGTTTAGGGTGAAAGCGCAACTGGGGGCTCACATAGGCAACTGCGCCAACTTTCGCTAGATCGCGCCTCGCACGCCAAGAGCCAGCTGCAAACCTGCCCACAGTTACCCATAGTCTGTCGGTTTAGGGTTTAGGGTTTAGGGTTTAGGAGGGAATGGGGGAATGGATCCCTATGATAGTCCCTTAAGGCCCCTTATAGTAGTCCCTATCCCATTCCCCCATTCCCTACTAAGCACCAGACCGTAGTCTGCTGGAAGGCAATCATTCTATGTTCCCAGAGACTCCAAAACCCCTTAATTAAGGAATATACCTTAAATCATACTAGGGTTCCTGTTATGATTTATGGTATATTCCTTAATTAAGGGGTTTTGGAGTCTCTGGGTTATGTTCTCTCCGATCTTCGCACCAATCTACAACATTGGAAAAACACGGAAGCCCTTTTTGGGACTGTGCTTGATTGCAGTCCGTCTTCGAGTCTGATGTCGGATCTGGAAGGCCGCAGCCGCCGACTTTGTCACACCAGTGCAACCTCCAGCATCAGACTCTCTAGCACTAAACCCTAAACCCTAAACCCTAAACCCTTAACTTAAACTCGAAGCCAAAAAGCTGAATGACCAGCTGCGGTCGCTGCCGGTCAAGCAGTGCTCACAACGAACAGGCGTTGCCGTTCGAACAAAACACGGACCAAGGCGCCGCGTCCAGTCAGAGCCACTGATCTGTACAAGGGGCTGCGCAGTAAAAGCAAGATGACGTGCCTAAGGCGTACGAAGCATCCTGCCCTATACTGCGCAAAGCAAATGATGCCTTTGACATCTCCGAGTCCTCAAAACTCAGTCCTCCCGTTGTTCTGCATCAGAGCTCTTCTTGCCCTCTGCTCGATGTTGAAGGAGGGTCCGACCAACCCTGTCGCGATAGGATCCGGCCGTGGATGGGCGTCGTGGTGGCGGCGTCGGTGTCAAAGTCATTTCTGCTTCAGCCACATCTAGGTTCTTCTGCAAATCCAGTCGCAAACGAGAGTTCACCTTCTCGAAGTGGTCGCTCCTGTTCAGCCACATCTCCTTCTCAGCTTCCAGGAATTTCACAAACCTCTGATGCCTGGCTTCTTGCTCCCCAAGGGCACTCAACTTGTCACAACAAAGTTGCCTCAACTCGCAGTTGTCGGACACGGCTGCATGGCAGACTTTCTGTTCCTTGGCAAGTGCACCCTTGAGCTTCGCGACCTCCAAGTCTTTCGCTTCCAAGGCGGCCTCCGTTTTGCCACGCAGCTCAGCCAGCTCCGCGCTTGTGGAGCTCTGGCACTTTTGCAGGTCTTCGAGCTGATCTTCTCTCTCCCTCAACTGTGCTTGCAGCCACTGCAGCTCTTGCTCCTTCGCAGACATCTTCTGCAGAGACGCATCGAGCCTCACGTGCAAGTCCGACACTTCCCGCTGAAGAGACTTCTGCTGCTCTTCAGCCCGTTCGGCCTCCGCGGCTTTCTTATGAAAGTCTTTGTTCAACTGGGCCAGCTCAGCCTCCTTTGCTGGAAGCTGACTTCGCAAGATGCTCAGCTCTTGGTCCATGGTGTCACACAAGTGCTCTTTTGCACTGATCTTCTTCAATGATGCTTCCAGCTTCTTTCGAAGGTCCGTTATTTCTGACTCCATTGCCTTGTGCTGCTCCACATCGAAGAACTGCTTTTGAAGATCATCTCTCAACTTCTCCACCTGCTCTCCTCGAGTGATGGACTGCCTCCGACTTTCTTGCAGCTCTTCATCCTTACGCTGCAACATCACGTGTACACTGCTGAGTTCTTCACAAAGTGCCAGCTTTTGCCGGGCTTCTTCCTCTTCCTCCGCTTCCTTGGCTTGCGAGGCCGAGCGAAGCTCCAGATTCTTCGAAGCCAAGAAGCGCTCGCGATCCAGCGCACCGGAGAGCTGCTTCTGCAGGAGCTGAACTTCATCAGATCTCTGTTTTGCAGAGGAGGCTTCTGAGTCAAGGTACATCTGATGCCAATGCTCCACTTGTCGCAAGAGCGATGCCACTTGTTCAGCCACCACCGCACTAGAGCGAGATGGTGAGGATCCTTTGATGACTGGAAGTGAAGACACGCTGGCCATACTTGTGATGACGCTTCGATGTGCTTCGATTCTGGCCAGGAACAAAATTCGTACTTGATCCCGAAAAGGGCTTCTGCAGCGCAACATGCAGCAATGCTAAACGTGTCAAAGCTGGCAACTCACTGACTTGAGCTTATAACTGTCTTTGAAACCGTGAATCCAGGTCTCTAGCATGCGGAACCTCAAGACATGTAGTCGACTCCAGGCAACCTCGGCTCCCGGATTTCTCTTCATGGCTACGGCCGCACCCGGCTCGGCAAAGCACTGTGAGCCGGTGATTCCCCGGCTTCCTACGGATGGCGCTAAGCCAGGTGGGAGTTTTCGAAATTAGGGGACCTTAATCTAGTACCCTAAATAGTAGGATCCTTGTTATAAGGGCCCCAAAATGTACCTCCTAATTTTCGGAAACCTCCAGGTGGTGCTAGACCTGTCAACCCGGCACCCATTTAGAGCAGGTGCCAGAGGACGGGAGGCGTTCCTACCAGACTTATTCCGACTCGGAAACACAACAACGATGCCAGCACGGCAGCACATCTTGCGGCATGTGGGCCATATTCCGGCAGAAACTTGCCGTTCGTGCGCCTGTGACCTTCAACTAAACCAAAGTCTCAAATCTTTGCAAGCACCGTCTAGAGAAAATCGTACCATGATTTAGCAAAATTACATGGTTATGCATGCTCAATGCTCGTTATGTAACGTTTATGTGCTTGCATGGCCAAAAACCTCCAAGACATCTGAGCTAAACTTCGAGGCTTCTGCACGTCACTGGAAACCGGGACAAGGCTAGCAAATGGTGTAGAGTTTGGAGTTTGAAGACACACAGGATAGGGGGTCCT